CGGCCAGACCCGCGCTGACCATGTTGCCCGCATGGTTGGCCGCCTGATTTCGTCCGTTTAGTACGCGGAAGCTATGTTTACTCTTCTTGTTCTGCGTATTGCTGCCTTCTTGGTCCGGGGAGCAGATGCCCAGTGTGAGCGCCACGAGGAGAGGCATCATACTCGTGCCCGCGACGGCAGACACAATTTGCGTGGAGAAGACGAGGGCTGGGTGTGTGGAGATAAGGTTGAGTCCTTGAGAAACACCCACGAGGAGGGCGCAGCCAGCGACAAGAAATCGCTTATACCTAAAGGCCTCGAGTATCAGCTACCTCGATACACCAGCGGATTATATGATTTGAAGGGTCCGTGGGAAGTAAGACCACTCACTTCGTTGCGTCTATAAGAGCACCGATCGGGCCCGTTGCGATGATGGTAGCAACACCGCCTGCCGTACTCACCATGCCGCGCAGCCCAGGTTCCCATCCACGTTGTTGTAGGTAAACGCCAAGAAATGGACCGAGCCCATCTGCAACATCTCCCATAAAGAAGGACATGACAAAGAGGGCCCAGCGTGCCCGCCTTTTCAACTTCTCATCCTCCACCTGGCTGGAGTCAGGGCCTGACTGCGCATCTCCCTCGTCTAGTATGTTGACATTGGCGATGGCAGGTGGTGGAGATGCCGATGCGGTGATTGGTATATCCTTCTTATCGTCAATCTTCACATCCGCGTTGGGCTTGATCGGATGGAGTGACTCGAGGCTAATGTCGTTGCGCGGGCTGGGCTGTGAATCCTTGGCGTCCATTGTCTTTCACCGTGAAGGGGTGACAGATACTCCCCTGTGTCTCTTGAGCCGCAAAACACTGGGCGGGCTTTCGTTATAAGAAGCACCGTCCGATCTATCGAGACAAACCGGCCAAACTGACACAGACAGAGGTTCCTACGTCAACGACGGGGCCATCCCCGAATTGATGCGCACAACTGTGCCAAATATAGACACTTGCTCAAACCTTCTTTTCTCAACCTACCTTGATTTGGAGCTGTTTGGAGCTGTCTACGTCTTGACAAGCTTTCAGTTGGCTGTAGACAAGGTTAGGTGCTACCTTATCTTGATACGAGCAAACACACAAAACAGCTTTACAGCGAACACTGCATCTTCACCCCGCTTCTCACTGTCGCGAGGCATTCGGGAATTATATGATTCGGCCGAACTATGAGGGAGCATGATGTCGGCTCGGCATTGGCGGCTAAATAGCGCTTTAATACTATTTCACCATGTAGGCTTATTGAGAAGTCAGAATGACAGAATTAGTAGCAGTCCCCGCAATGATTGCTAGATTATGAACTTCCATCGCGAGTACATAATACACCAAACAAACTCGTTTGACTTTTGAGGCTGAAATCCAATATTCCGAGTTTCTCCATCACTATCTCCCAGAAAGTAGGCACTTTATTTGCATGCGTGGTACCTCTCGAATCACAGAATCTTCATCAATTGGGTAGGACCCTACATGGAGATCTCTAGCCTATCCACTTCAACTGCGATACTCATGCCGAACACGTGAGTCAATTGGATTGAATGAGAGTTTCAACCCTCCGGAGGTACTGGGAATGTCGACTTTCGGCAGCTTTTCCCAGGCCTCTTTAGCCAAGTCTCGTATGCCCCGCACCAATACGTCTGGCTGCTGTAGGGCAGCAAGATGACCTGCGTCATTGTGTTCTGCGCTCTCTGTTAGTTTAATATCCGAACCAACATTGCCAAAAGCATATCGGTGGATCATGCCTCTGTAAAAGACCAGGCTCCCATTCTGCTCAACTGATCGCTTCACTGCCCTTTTGGAAGCTTCATCCGTATCCCAGGAAAAGGAGGTGAACCCAAATGGCACCTTGATCCGGTTGTCTTCGTCTATCGGGAGTTCCGCGAACTTATCGTAAGTCGGAGGATCATAGTATGGCATGATCGACGACGTGATACATCCGGTGAAGAAGTATAGAGACGCGGTGGCCAGAATGGCTTTGGTCCACAAGGGATTGTTGCAGGGCTCCAAGTGGCCGACTACTTGGTACTTTTCAAGAATCCACATGAGTATTCCCATAGGATTGTCTTGTAATGCTAGACCAATTGTATGAGGCTATGCGATCAAACCAGTCAGTTCCATCTCACCTGTCGTCGAGGATGGATGATCTTACTTGGATTATTCCGGTAACGTCAAGCCCCCTATGGCGGTGTGCCCAGTCGTCATATTTGCGGAAGGCCTTCTTCTCGCGTTCGGTAAGCTTGATATCATCTGGCATCGGAATGGAAGCATAGTTGCAGTGTAGAAGCTTGCAGGAGTCGGTGTATTTTGCACCAAGCTCACGGCCTACAGCATGAACCAAATCGCCACACTGGACCAAATACTCGTTGTATCCAAGGCTCTTCATGAGCGTGTCAAAAAGGCGTGCGTTGTCTTGAAGCTTCCAATGACCATGCTTTGGGGAAGAGGACCAACAGAAACCTGGCATGCTTGGTACCACGACGTGAAAAGCTGGATCGTCGAGATTGGTGCGATCAGATAACGGGCGCCATACTCGACTGTACTCCCAGAATGTTCCAGGCCAGCCATGGATGGCGAGCAGTGGAATTGCTTCTGGACTCTGCGATCGAGTGTGAACGAAGTGGATTGTAAGGTCTTCAATTGTGGCCAAGTAATGCGGCGCTTCGTTCATTTCGCTTTGAACCTCGTACCAGTCAAAGTCGTTGACCCAACGACTTTGGAGAAATGCCGCCGTAGAGTACTCGTCTCCTAGGTAGTCTTAGCCACGCAACTAATCATGATCTTCAAAGCGACGAACCATAGCTCTGGTCAACATCACGGGACTCAAGACAACTCGGGAGTCTAAACTCTTCAAGTTTGCGTCGTAAACGCTCAACCTCTTCGCGTGCGATGTCGACCCTAAACTCCTTGATATCAGACATGATGAAAGCTCTCCGGGGTTTCGACTCAACCAGCAAGCCAAATAATATTCATGAATATTAGCAATTTCTCGCGAAAGAGAACTCCGCACATTATAATCGGATGAACTGAGATAAATGATGTAATCATAGCCGAGGCTCTATGGTGCCAACAGCTTTGACTCGTCTCGAAACACTGCGCCCAGACCATAAGCTTTGTTGCACATATGATCTCATTCCCGCTGCACAGTGCACATGCCATTGACGAAACACTTGACACACGAAAGCTAAGTAACACGGGGAGCTGCTTGACGGGACTGTTACCAGGCGGCAATGCAGGATTGCCTTGAGCTAATAAGGTACGATGAAGAAAATCTATTTTCCGGGCTAATTAAGAGTCGTAACTAATCAAACCATCCATGGTTCCAGCATGAAGTCCACCAGTGATGGGTATATCTGCCGCCGTTGTGTGGCGCGCCGCATCACTGAGGAGGTAGACGACGGCACCAGTCAGGTCGTTTTGCGTGCTAAGTCTCTGGTTGGGCGGCGCGAGCCACATCTGCTCTCCCTCACGCTTACTCTTTGATGCCCGTACGTTTCTCGTCATTTCTGAGTCAACGAAACCGGGAGAGATGGTGTTCACGCGGATGTTGTGTGGTGCAAGCTCGACGGCCAGGGCTTTGGAGAGCATGAAGACGGCACCCTTGGAGGCGTTGTATGCCGCCATGCGGTAGCCGGGGAGAGCGATGTGTGCGGACTGAGAAGCCAGAAGGACCATGCTGCCTCCGGACCCTTGCTTCAACATTTGCTTGGCCGCAAGCTGAGCGACGAAGAATGTTCCACGAACCTATTTATTCGTGAGTATGAACTTCTGCGGGGTAACACTCCGGGGACGACTCACGTTAATTTCCTGGATGCGGTTGAACTCGGCCCATGTTTGATCGAGGAATGGCTTATCTATGGCAATGCCCGCCGCCGGCACACAGCCGTTGATGGAGCCGAATTCCGCAATCACTTTGTCGAAAGCAGCTTGGATACTCTCTTGTGACGTGACATCCGTCTTGATGTAAATGGTCTTTGTGCCAAACTTCTCAGAGAGTGTGGTAAACTCATCGACGGGCTTATCCTGGATATCGAACACTGCTACATTTCCACCCATCTCGCAAATGGCACGAGTGCATGCGAAACCGATGCCCTGAGCTCCGCCCGTAACGATGTAGTTACGGCCGCGGAGCTCAAACATGGGCCGCACGTCGTCGAGGTGGTCGGAAGGCATGGTGAACTGATTGAGGATAGGCTTCAATTTGTAAATGGGTATGACGGCGTATGAATCAGAGCTCAAGCAAAGCGATTGTTTGGTTTTGGTCATGAACGATGGGAATAGTCCCTGTTCTTCCTTTATCGTGACTCCCGGCGAGGAGTGTGCGATCCCCGGGATTGACTTCGGAAAGTGGGCCTTACCCCGGTTCCGTAAACTTCGGAAGCTCCGAAGATCAACGGTTCCTATCTGTGCTCAAGCACCGGATCCCTTACCCCGATCTTTGTTGGCCCGTTCAGGATACTAGTTGGCGGCGCTTGATATGGCTTGTCCTGTAGTTGATTATCGCAACGTGTTTGAGATTTGTCTGGGTGTTTGAGTGTCACACTTCTGTTTAATCATTCGGTTGTCACCTAGGACTTTGTGTAATCGCAAGCAAGCATCTAGCTGTCTCAACCACAACAGATATTTCGTCGAAGATTATCGCAGAGATAATGGCATCCAACGCGCCAGGCGCTTGTTGCACTGTTGGCACACTTCACGAGTGAGGCTTTTTTCCAAATGCACAGCAATAGCAATCTTCGAATGCCAGCTGATTTCCTTAACTTAGGGGTACCCCGATAGGGAAGTCCGTCCAGATTGACGGGAAAATTGAGGCGTACTTGGCCCTTCCCGCCGAAAAAGCGACTTTGCAGCGAGCTGTCTTGTATCTTCCAGATATCATTGGAATATGGCAGAACAGCAAGCTCATGGCCGATGCATTTGCGCGCGAGGGTTACGTGTGCCTCGTTCTCGATCTGTTCAATGGTGATCCGGCACCGTTAAACATGCCTGAGGATTTTGACATCATGAAGTGGCTGCAGGAGGGCACTGGTGGGAAGAATCCGCACACCTCAGAGACTATTGATCCGATAGTCGTCTCCGGCATCAACTACATAAAAGGCCTTGGTATCACGAAAATTGCGGCGGCAGGGTATTGTTTCGGGGCCAAGGTTCGTTTTCATGTCAATTGAAAAAACTTCGCATTATGCTAATTCCGCCGTAAGTATGCCGTGCGTCATTACAAGAGCGGAATCCAATGCGGCTTCATTGCTCACCCGTCCTTTGTGGAAGCGGACGAGCTCGCCGCCATCACCGGACCGCTGTCGATTGCTGCTGCAGAATTTGATGACATCTTCCCAACAGAGAAGCGACATGAAAGTGAAGCTATTTTGGCTCAGACAAAGCAAAACTACCAGATCAACCTGTTTTCTGGCGTTCACCATGGCTTTTCCGTTCGCGGTGACCCGAAGAACGAAAAGGAGAGGTTCGGAAAGGAACAAGCGTTTTCTCAAGCGGTATCTTGGTTCAATAGATACTTTGAAGCGGTGTGACACTGCATAGTCTTCAATCAATAAGAAGATCTGAGTTGTGCATGTTTGCTGTCCCACTCTTTTGAACTAGATTTTGTGAGCCGTGAGCTTGATAGTTTCCTGAAAGTTACAAGATCTAGCCATCCTAAGACGCGTCTGTCTCTCAAAATACATGTCCTGATCCTAGCAAAGATTTTGGTATTTAAGAAAAAATTGTCGTCGCCTAGACGCAAAATTACCGCCGAGAAATGGGGTTCACGTATGAAGTCTCGCGCCCGAGTGTCGCGTTTGTACAGTTCCTGCGCTCCGAGACCACGTGTCTCCGAGATGTCATCCATGAAGACTACAACAAGTACTCAACTTCGATCAGTGCTCTGATGCCATCAAACCATATCGTTTACTCCCAAAGTATTAGAAACGAACAGTATCACTCCAGACTCTACATGGTGATTGAGGAAACAATCAAGTCCATCCCTGCTCAACTGTCCGCTCCTAAACTTCAGCGCCATGGGTGTAATGTATTTATGCAATACACATTATTAGGACATGAATTTCGATGGATACCTTGATAGTCTCGCGACTAGGCAAGCCACACAAGCCATAGGCGGCTACCGAATGTCACTGCCATGATCTTACAGGTGAAGTCCTCTTCGCAATCTCTCACAGGATGGTGATGAGATTTTGATTTCTACAGCATAATTCAGTCACTTCCACTAATTTCTGCGGTCTAACGTCGGGTTATCACAATTGTAGATGTACATGCTGACGGAACGATGATGTGACCGACGCAATGTCTCAGTAGCCCCTGTGAGGGAAGCACGCACCTTACACATACCTCCGCTAGTCGTCCGCCTGACAGTTGGACCAAGTCAATAACATGCACAGGGGCATACTACCCAGCCACGAAGTAAATAAGTGTCGAGGGATGGGCTGGCCGCCATAATCTCGCCCTACTCAAGACGTGGCAACGACGAAAGTATGTCAATGATTTGGTCTGTACTTTATCTTTTCAATGCTTGTCAGATAGCCTTGTAGGAGATCTCGATTGGGGGTATGCTCTCAAGACTTCCTGTCTGTCTGTAGTTTGACGGAGCTCCGCCCTCTCCCCGATCTGCCGGGATATGGATATCATTCTCTTGTCATCTTCTCATCACTTTCCGTAACGATTATTATCTTCGAACGCAAGCATTCATGGCTCCGCCGTTAAACAACATCGTCGTAAGGCAAATTGCATCTTTGTCAATACTATTCGTTCTCGCAACTGGAATTTTCGGCCTTCGATTATTCACCCGGATTGTACATTCTATGACCTATCGGCTGTTATTAGATGACTATTGCATCATTGCGGCGTGGGTAAGCATCTCAGGCTCCTGATATGGGTCATCTACTCATCTCTAAGCGAAGATACTGTTCACTGCCCAGCTATTCCTCAGAGTCGCAGTGCTTAATGCCACATATCTAGTTCCTGTCGTTCTGCTGGTTAAGAGAAACGCGGACATGAGCCATGTAGCTGGGGTCATGGCAAATGTGGCATGGTCGCTTGCAAAGACATCTTTCATCTTTACTCTTTTGCGGCTCGTGACTGGAAGACTGAGATGGCTATTGTGGTTCATCATGGTGACCATGAACGCTACTGTCGCGATATGGGTACCCCTATTCGAAAATCCGTGTGGACCTGGTTCTCATTTACCATGCATGACAGGTAGACAGGCACTCAACTTTGCTGTTTTTGCTTCCGGTATGCATGAGTATGCTGCAGTTTTCGGGTCTATGAATCACACTCACAGCGTAATGTGTTAGCTTATTCAGTATTTTTGGACTTCCTCCTATCATTATTGCCATGGAAAATCATATGGCCACTGCACCTCAACACAAAAGACAGAGTTGGTATATGCGTGGCCATGAGCATGGGATTTGGGTTAGACTCTTCTCTGCCATGATTGAGGGCTATGTGTAATTGCTAATTATGACCGAAGTGCTGGAGCAACAGGGATTGTCAAGATATTCCACCTCTTCAGTTTCAATCCGCTGGATAATAGTAGGTTACGCCTTTCCTGCGCTAAGTTTTCAATCTACTCCAGCAAAACCTAACTCCTTTGCAGACAAATTAGGAGGTCTTTTTATATGGGAAAGTGCTGAGATAGCAGCAACCATCATGGCCGCGTCAATCCCCGTGCTTCGGAAGCTCTCTCTCAGCCGTTGGAGACACAGCGTTGCGCCTAACATGCGGGAAAATGAAGAAGAAGCGATGAGGTCAAGCTTCCGACGACAGTTACGCATGGTCGGTCTCGGTAGTCAAGTTACAGATAACACCACTACGACTCAAGCTACTCCATCAACAATCCTTGGGTCAACTCAAGAAGAAGTGGCTGTTATTTGATGGGGGGCGCAAATAACATGTAAGATTGGGCCTTTAGGTGGAATGACTGAATAAAAAGAAGGCCTTCAGAGAAATAAGACTGCCTTGGCTACTTTTCTTCGGGCAGACGAGATGCATTTCTTGACTACCATCAGTCTGGAACCCAATCATTTCGAAGATGAGATCAGAGTTAATTAATGCTTAGATCCGCATATAATGGGCAAAGGTCTTTCAGTAGCCTGAGCCTCACCGAGGTCTCGAGTTCCTTGGATATTGCATCTGCGATGTGCTGCTCAAAAAGTTCAGCCGTGTCTGTTTGGTGGCAACAATAGAGATTATCGCATGAGGCCACGGCTGGATCGTGTCTCCATTGATCGTAAAGCTAGATAAATCCGTCAGCAGCCTTCAGTCGCATATCAAGTTGATTGTGCTTACTTTCGAAGGTCGCCTCGCTTCGCATCCATCAACGAAGCATGATCTCCGTCATCAGGGAGGCATCCGTAATGAGTAGACGGCGCCAAGTAAGATTCAATATTCTGTTGGCAAAATCTTCTTCGGGTTCACGAATTGGGCCAGCTTCCTGAGTCTGAATATCACGGAACACTCGTGGCAGTGCCGACGGCGCTGAAAAGGTCCAAGCATTTGCATGATGCTTGCGAAGTTGGGCAGAGCGAGTTTCTCTTTACAACTTCCAGCTCATCTCGTAAATCCGATGGAAGCTTCGACTGCTCATCATCGACTCAGCCAGCGAGTATTTGACAGGTCATGTTCACAGTGAAGAGCTCGTTCTCTGAATGACTTCTCATGTCCAAGGAGCGTGACTACGCACTACGACGCGTGGGGTTTGATCTTATTGGCGCCTAGGAAGAGGGTGATTTTGACGGCACCACTATCGTAAAACGAGGTCATAGCTACATCTGATATACGAATACGAGATTTCGCTACGATTTTTCCGACGTATGCATGCTGGGATTATTCGTCGGCGATCCCTTTATCGCCTTTTGGTTGGCTAGAAACTCTCCCTAGAAACGACAGGAACCGTCATGATGTGTGCAAATGGCTAGTTGAACATTTGGTGCCGTCATTGCAGGGCAGATCTTTAAAAGCAAATATGCCCCCCGGTGTGGGTCGTCAAGCTGCTCCCATAAAGGCTTAACCTCGCTAGCAGCTTCAAGGACGAGATCTCCCTCATTGCGACAATGATCACAACGGCCAACTTGTGAAATTTTCGGACTGGCGCCTCCAAAGTACTTATACAAGATGGACAACAAGAAGAGAGACGATGAAAATGCATGTTGGGATGAAGTATAATTTACTGCTGAAGTTGTGTCTCATGGAAGGGCGAGGAGAGGCGCACGTTCGAGTATGGTTCATAGACGCCCGCGCTTCCCGTGGATCAGGGAGCTAGAAACTGAGCGATCGAGCCATCTGATTTATAACCCAACGGCGCATATACCATACGCAAGCTACATAAACTTGATGCAGTGTCCATTTTACTTGCTTCATGTATATCTCTTTAACCAACGTCTATAAACCCGTCGGCATTGGTGTTCATCAGTTAAGCTGTGGGTGGTATGGTTTATGTAGTCTTCAGAAAAGTGTTCCTAGCCGCAGGGCGACAAGGCGGGTTGTGATGGATGTTCAGCAGGCGTGGCAGGGACCACTCGGAAACACCTCACTGAAACCCCGGAAGCGGCAATCTGTCAGAACCAACAAGTCATCATTGACGGATTTCAGATGTGGCGCTTTGCTTACGAATTGTGGCAGGCTTGTTCAGCTCTTGAACAGATCTGGCATGGTTCAAGGACTAGCCTTGAAGCAAGGAGTACCGGGCGACACGGATCAAAACTTAGTGAAAGAGAATCATGGGGATTATCCCATCTTAACCAATCGTCAAAGCCCCGTTATCTCTTCCCCGCATTCTACATTTCTAGCGGGTAAGGGACCCTAGGCTAAACCCGTAGTTGTAGGAAGTCCCGCTTTGCCGCTATCAAGAGGAACATAGCCGACTGACAATCTGTCTGCTTATCTCTTCCCTCTCCTATTCGATTGTGTTGGTTCTCTTCCATCCCCCGGCACTTCTCTTTGAAGGAACCGCTTTTCCATCCTTTTGATCATTGTGTCGCCTGCATACTGAACGTCATCGTTTCACTTGCTTGCGCAATACCCACCTGGAAACCAACTGCTTTCAATTACGTTTGAGGGTAAAGTACCCTGCGATGCCACGGAGCAAAGACAACATGGCGCAACCGAAAGAGAACCGCGTCGCAAAGAGACCAAGTCCACAGAGCGGAGAGACGGGAAGACGACGAGCGCCGTATGCATTGCGCGCTTGCGAGGCATGTCGCCGACGAAAGGGGAAATGCGACGGACGGCAACCATGCAGGTACTGCGCAGGACGTAAGCAGACCTGCGTCTTCGACAGCATCTACGGCTCCGATGACGGCATGTGGTCCGTCCCGACGGCGACGGCTCCCGATGATTCCCCCACCGAGTCCGATCAATCAAGGCGAGAGACTTCGTCGACGTCAAATAACCAGGAGAATATCATGAAACTCTTGTCAAGTCTCCAAGACCAATTGAACAGTCTCGCATCTCGCGTGCAAACTCCCAGCGAGGCGGCGAGCGCCATACAACCATCCCCGGCATTCACAATGGGCAACCAGACCCCGGAAGATTTCCTTTCAGCCCTCATCACCGACGCCGGGGTCCTCGAAAACTGCCTTGAGTCAATCGGACCGTCAACGTGCTCCCCGCCTCGGCAGCTGTACGGCCTGCCAAGCCCAGAGGAGACCATGAAGGTTGCACGAACCCGCGTCCGCCGAGAGAGCCTATACCACACGCCGCCCGAACCAGCGCCAGAGGAACCGATCAGCCTCGACTTCATCCCTACTGTATCGGCCCATGACGATGCCATGTCTCTGACGCAAAGCACGAGTTCTTTCAACCCACTTATAAGCGGCACAAGCGATTCCCAAAAGTTGTTGCGCTTCAAGTCTTTGATGAATATCGACGAAGTGGTCGAAATGCTTGGCGTGTACCAAGACGTTATCGGAGGTCTTCACCCGATTATCGAAATCGACCAGACTATCGCCTATGCTCGATCCTTTTATGCAGATACGGAATCGACAAGTTGGGAAATGGTGACGGAAAAATCAGATACGGCTTCCGAGGAAGATTTGATAATCTTGAATCTTGCCTTGGCTATTGCACTCCACACTGAAGCGACGCCAGAAAGCTCCAATATCGAAGCGCTCATCGTAGATTGTATGAAAGAGGCTGTCAACAGCAGAATCACCGAATCAAATACAAGTATGAAGCAAGTTACCATCATACTACTCAAGGTTAGTCGCAACCACTTCTCGTTTCGATTCCAATCCAGCGCTTACGAGACCAACTAGGGCTGCTACGAATACTTCAATGATATGCCCCAGGTTGCCTGGCGTATGTGTGGCATAGCCGGGCGCATGCTTATGGAGCTCGGAGTACACAACGAGGAAGCGTGGTCCCGTCTGGCAAACTCACAGAGTCTACGCTCAGAACTCTGTACCCTGGTCTCCAGCATTGTTATCCTTGACCGACAATGGAGCGCAGCAGCCAACCTGCCTTCCAACTTTCATGACTCCAGTTTCAGCCCTGTCAACCTTATTTCGGTAAGCTACATCGTCCTGACCAAACTCTCAACCTGCATTAACCCTCAAAAAGGTCGATCATCCCTACATCCAAGCAATGTTATCCTTCATCCGCGTCAACAATAAGCTGGAAGGGCCTATGGCACAAGCCACAAAGGCCCAGCGGTACGAGGACGAGGATAACTTTGAGCTCATGAACTTCCAGTTGGAGCAATGGCGCAAACGAGCTGTCGGCAACTACTCCATCACACACCCTGAGACATGGAGCCTGAGCCCTCCCAAGCAGCCTTCTTCATTTCCCATATTACTCCACCTGCGCGCGGAAACCGTCCGGAGTTTTCTCCTCAAGCCATGGTTCTTCTCGCGAACCGACACACAGACGAGCAAGAAATATCTCCAGCCTGCAATCGAAGTCCTCTTTGACATCTGCGACGTTCTCTACGCCCTGAACGCCAATACGGATATCTACCGCAAGCAGCAGCCTTATTACCAAGAGCTATTGGCTTCAGCTTCCACTCTTGGTTTCGTTCTGACATCGTCCCTGGAGCAGAACCGTACGACCCTATTAGCCAGCCTGCCCCCGGGATTATCCAAGGCAATGGGCCGTAGCTACGAGTTGGCTGTGGCACTGGCAGCGAGCTATGTCACGAAGTCAAAGGCTGCAAGGCAACTGTCTGACCAGCTTGCTGAGGTGCGTGGGAGCCTGATGGGGTTCGGCATGATCGAGATGCCCGATTCCGCCGAGGCGGATGATGCCAAGAAGAATGGCGATGTACTTCCTGCATCGGAGTTCATGTATGCCGGATCTGCGGGGTGGGACGATGAGTTCCAAATGCAATGGCCAAATTGCGATCTTGAGAACAGTTTTGCTGAGGGCATCGTCTCATGAGGTGGCTGCTGGCGGTTGTACTTATGTTAATTATACCATGTGATACGAAATGAATGACGATCAATGATAAAGTCTATGATTATTTCGAGAGCCTACAAGGTAGGCATCAGAATCTGGCGTCACCCAGGCATCCAGAAAGACTCGACACAGGTACCTAGACTCATAATGCATGTATTATCTACAGAATCGAAGCAGCCACAACCTTAACCTTTACCGTATCCGCCAAGCTGTTTCCATGGCTTCTTCATGTTTTCCGCACCTTGAAGTTGAACATCTCGTTTGATACAACGGAGTTCCGGTCCCTCATCTTTTTCGCGGTATCAACTCCTAGGACTGGCACGCGGTACTCAAACTTAGCGCCATCCTCTTGACCTTTGACCGGATAGGGGAAGGGAAGGTACTGCGGCATCAACCCAAGTTGAGCCAAGACAGTTCCCTGGTCCCATGAAATGTGCTCGTGGTACAACCTGTCGCCACGAATATTCACAACAGCAGTGAAGGGGATCTCCACCTTTTTGTACGTTGGCGGAATACCAGGAACACTGAGAGGCACCGGGGTATTAGCCACTGTCGTCCTTGAAAATGCCCCTATCCGAGATCACTCACAGCCAATCCACAACCGTGTCATGTGTGAACTTGTAGATGAATTCGTCCACAACGCGATCAATACCGAGTGTGCGGCTGATGAGTTCTAGCTCTGTGTCTTGAGAGTTATTGAAAATGAAGTTGTTGCGGTAGAATTGTGTCAGTGACCCTCGTCCGATGCCACCAGTCAGCTGAGTGCACATGTTAGCAGTGAAAATTCAATGCAAAGACCTCTCTCATGAAAGGCCACATAAATTTTCTTACTGTTGGAACATGGTTCACGTATGGTTGATCAACCATTGTGCTCATGGTATGCTCAACAGAGCGGTCCGCGAACTCATAATACGTATGCTCATCCCAGATCGCTTCAAGATCGAAGTATGGCCCACCAATAAGGGGCTTGAGAAAGGTCAAATTTCTGGTGTGAGACAGAGACTCTGACCAGTAATCAAAATCTTCATGAAATGGCGTCGCAAGCCTGAATGATTTGGCTTTTGCGTATCGATACGTCGTGATACCCTCGGTCTTCTTTGCCTCGGGTGGTGCTTGGCCACCAGCAAGGTGACACAGCATGGGGATTTTGGGTTTCTCGAGGGTACTTTCATCGCTAGAATTTGCGTAGACAACAGCCCCAACAATGTCTGGAAAGATGCAGGTCACCCCAGTGACCTGGTTCCATAACTTTGGGTCAAACGCTGAAGAGAGTAAAGGTGTTAGTTCGTATACAGAGTCTCTGAAGCGCACAAGGGCATAGTCACTCTAGAAACATAACGACAATCCCGACTTTACTATCTCTCTCCAACTTGCTGCAGTCTTTCAGTGCTCTCAAGGCAGTCTGCAAGACATCTGTGGCAGCACTCGGATTAGTTAATGCCTTGGCTTGGATCTCCACCACGACGAAACCCTCTTCCGCCCACTTGACGAGGGCAGAGGGAACTCCTTCAACAATATCTAGGTGCTGCGTCGAATCATGTTGCAGTATAACGAGGCCCTTTCCGTAGCCTCGGCGTGAGAGCGGCGGCAGCAAGGTGATGCCCTCGCCGATGCACTGTGGCTCGGCCTTTGGCAGTGGCGAAGGGGGCTTGCTGATATCCGCATACATTTTGCGAAAGTTCTTGCGCGAGTGGGAATCACAGTCAACAGTGTAGTTTGAGAAACAATATTGAGAGGGCTGTCAGCTGCGAGCTTAGTCTATACGTTGCATTCTGGGTTCAATCAAGACACTCAGGCGACCAACAACGATAACCTGGGATGGACCATGCGTGGCGCTTGACGTTCCGATGGCTTGGTCGCGCCTGATACGGAAACCTTGTTTTAGCGCGTAGAGCACAGCTGACAAGGCCGTAGAGCTGGGTTCCTTGTATCCGGTGTATCGCGGGGTGCGCTTCCGTTGGAGGGTGTAGGAGCATGCGTTCCGTTCCGTTCGGAAGTTCCGTGATAAGCACCAAGACGGCGAGAACAATCCCCGGCCGGCACCACATTCGCTGTTACGCGCGCTTGGACTCGCTGAGCCACGTTACGGGGCAGACGATCATTGAGAACATGGGTAAGGGTACCTGTCATGAATTCTTCAGCGGTAGTCGCATCTCCAGATGGAGAAACGATGGGCAAACGGTGTCTTGACTTGATGCTTCGATGTCTGGCTTAGTTGTGTCCTCAACAACCACATGCGCGTGTGAATGCATGCATTTGATGAGATGCTTATTCATCGATATGATTCACAAGGCTTCTACAACATTCAAAAGGACATTCTGATGCGTCTTTGGCGCATCGATGGGGCCTTGTAAGTTAGTCGTATCTCAGACGCCACGCAACGCAACCAACGCGTGATCTTGACGGTCAAGGTCTCGAATCTGGAATGACTCCGCCGCCGCTTGATCCATATTTCGACACCCAATTTCTCGTAAGTGATATGATAGGCACAAGAGCTGACAAGCTCAATTTCGATAAGTTCCTAATGCGTGTTGGTGATTCCGGAAGCACCACCGGAATCCATCCCCATACCCTGCCGCGGTGGCCTAACACTGACACAACCCCTGTCAGCCAGCCATCAATCCGGGGTAACTCGACAGTAACTGGATATGGGCAGCCAGCTTCGATATGTAAAGCTGGACTTGTCTCATGTGCAGAAGGGCTTTGATCTCTTCATGATTCATCGTTTTACAACTTGACTCTAAACTCGAAATCGAAGAGAGTCTTGCGCTACTCATTCACTCAAGTCTCTTTTGCCTAGCTTCTCAGAGCTCCACGTTGGAACGCCTTACAATGGAGGGTCCATTCGATGCAGTCGTCGTCGGTGCCGGTAAGTATGATTCGGGCCCACCTTGTACTATACTTCTAGGCTCTAGGTACTGACAAGTCTCTCTCTTCTCAAGGCTGGTTCGGTCTCGCAGCCGCCAAGGCCTACTCACAACTCCACCCGACCGCGAGCCTCGCCGTCCTAGAAGCTGCTGAGTCTTGCGGAGGAACGTGGTCCAAGAACCGCCTCTACCCCGGCTTGAAGTCGAACAACATGATTGGGACCTACGAGTACCCTGACTTTCCCATGTCAGAGTCTGTGTACGGTGTCAAGCCCAACAACCACGTCCCGGGTGCGGTCCTGCACCGGTACCTTACCGATTTCGCCAAGCACTTTGGCTTCTTCGATCGTATTCAGTTCAATACCGCCGTCAACTTGGTAGAGAGGAATGGCGAGAAGGGATGGCGACTTTCTGTTGCCTCGCCGGCAGGGGAGCGCGTGATCCAGACTGAGAAGCTCGTCCTGGCAACAGGATTGACTTCGACACCGAACCTTCCCACTTACTCAGGAGCCGAGACCTTCTCTGGCCCTCTATTCCATGCAAAAGACTTTTGCAAGAGGGCATCCGAGCTCAAAGGGGTCAAGAACGCCGTGGTCGTAGGTGGAGCAAAATCAGCCTTCGACGTTGCCTATGCCTTGGTACAGGACGGCGCGGAGGTAGACCTGATCGTTCGTCCCAACGGCCACGGCCCTGTTTGGATTGCGCCTCCCTTTGTTACACCTTTCAAGAAGAGAATGGACCAGCTGCTCAACATCCGTTGGATGTCATGGTTCAGCCCGTGTCCTTGGGGTGGTGAAGACGGCTACTCAGGTGTCCGTCAATTCCTCCATGGAACCACCTTTGGTCGCTTCATTGTCGATTCGTTCTGGAAGGTGCTGAGTGGCGATGTTCTCTCGGCCAACGCGTACGATTCTCACCCTGAGCTTCAGAAGCTGAAGCCTTGGCACTCGGCGTTCTGGATTGGTAGCGGTCTTAGCATCTTGAACTACGACAGCAGTTTGTTCGATTTGGTCAAGGAGGGCAAGATCCGTGTTCACATTGACAACATCGATCGGCTAGAGGGCAACAAGGTCTTCTTGTCTTCTGGTGAGCAACTCGATACTGAGGCGATTGTTTGCTCCACCGGCTGGAAGAAGGAGTCGACCATCAAGTTTGCTGGTCTCAACGAGGAGAAGCTCGGCCTCAAATACTCTGCGACTGAGAGACGTGCTTTAGATCAAGAAGCGGACGCCAAAGTTCTTGAGCTCTTCCCTCGGCTGGGAGACCAACCGAAACTGAGATTCACCCCCAAGGAGGCAAACCCCTTGCGTTACTACCGCTTCATGGTTCCCTCTACAATGGTGGGCTCTCGCGACCTCGCCTTTGCCGGCATGATCTCAACTGTCAGCACCTCAGTCTGCGCCACGATTCAAGGACACTGGATTGCCGCCTTCTTGGGTGGCCAGCTGGATCGTCTTCCCACATCTGATCAAGAGATTACGGATGAGATCATGCTGCACACACAATGGGGCAAATGGCGCTACCCCTGCGGTTACGGTGCCGACCTTCCCGACTTTGTGTTTGAGGGTTTGCCATACGTCAACATGTTGATGAAGGATCTTGGAGTAGAGACACATCGCAAGTCAAGCCGTCTTCAGGAGCTTACGTCGCCGTACTTGCCGGCTGACTTCCGTGGCCTGGTTGATGAGTGGAAGCAGGGTCACGGTGCCAGCGAAACCGAGATTGCCACACATAAGGTTGTTACTTCAGGGACGGATGAATGAGAGGAAGCTTGAGAGTCAGCCATCTTGCGGCTTTTATTTTGGATATTTCTTTTGTTTCCGGGCATGTTCCCTTGGCGCATTCCCGATTTACTTTGTACCATTGTTTTCCCCCGGCCTAATTCAGGATAAACTCTTTGTGCTTTCTCGATTCCATAAAGGAGACCGAGAAATAGATGTTGGGAAAATGACAAATCAGACATATTTGCCTGACTCCCAATTCCATGAAGTTTACAACACGTTAACCTCGAGACGGCAACTATAATCTAACTTCGGGCAGGTGGTTGCTTGGCGATGGACGCCCAGGATACTTCCAATTTGGTACAATCTTCGACCCAATGATTTGTAATGTTCCAACCCGACTCCAAGTCCTATGTTGGAATTGACATAAACTTCCATGAATTGTTGCTGTTCACCTAGTTGTCTGCCGTCGTTCAATACTTCCTGGCTTGACTGGCGTTACCCGCGGAATCCGCGGAACGCATGGCAAAAGTCCAATAACCGCCACATTCCCACGGGAAGTGCGTCGCGGGTTGACGGAGTATTAACAGGACACATTTGAAATAGGGCAAAGATTCATCAGCATACTTGAAGTTTACATCAGATATCTCACGACAATTGGCATTCGCATAACGTTATTGGCGATGACTGGAGGTGTACACCATGGTAGTCACAGTGTTGTTGACTGAGCGGACTCTGCAGTGCGCAGTGGAAGGTGATCTTCATCTTTGAGAGCGAATCATTTCGCAAACCCCGCTGTAGTATCCCACCGGCGCTTATAAGTCGCGGAGGCTCGCTTGCCCAATTGGTACTATCGATCTCTAAATTACACTCATCAATCTCACAAACGAAAGTTTCTACCGACTACCCACAGTTATCAACATGCTCGTTTTAATCGCCGGAATATCTGGCAGCCTTGGTAGCCGTCTAGCAGTGGTTGCAAAGGAGCGCGGTCTCTCTGTCAGGGGCCTGGGACGTGACTCCTCAAAATTGAGTCCTGAGCTGGCCCAGAGTCTTGAGTCCTTCGTCACAAGCCGCAACTACTACGATATCCCGGCTCTAGATAAGGCCGTAGCTGGCGTCGATGCGATTATCTGTGCCTACAATCCGACGCCCCTACTGGACCTCGACGGATGCCTCTTACTCCTCCGGGCTGCCGAGCGGGCAGACGTCAAGGTCTTCATGGCCTCCTCATGGAACAATGACTGGACAAAGATCAAGTTTGGCGATTTTGAGCACTACGATGCTCACATTGCCTTTGAGCAGCAGGCCGCTATGACAAGCTCAATCAAACCTGTGTATCTTTTCACTGGAACCTTTGCCGACCTTCTGTTCACGCCATACGGGCCGGGAGGCTTCGATACCTCTGGTGACGTCCCTCAAATGCGCTACTGGGGCGAGGGGAACAAGAAGTTGCATTCATGGACGGCGCAAGACGACGTTGCTGCATGGACCATTGAGATCCTAATCAATGGAGATGGCGTCCAACAGGGCAAGGGAGGATTTTTCAGAATGCGTTCCGGAGTCAATACAATTGAGGAGCTGGCGTTGGCGTATGAGGAGGCGACGGGCACCTTTGTCGAGGTCAAGCGCCAAGGCACCCTAGGGATGCTTGCGGAAGAGATCGCAAGACTGCGCAAGGAAAAAGGAAGAGCTAGGAACTTTGAGTATCTCCCAGAGGTTGTCGCATTCTTAAGCGACCAGGGACTATTCGAGGTACCGGCTAATGAGATTGTGTATTTGGGGCATGTTCGCAAGCCGACAAGTCTGGAAGAACACCTCAAAATACGGTTCGGCGGCCAATGATAATTGGATCAGGAACGAGATACAGGCACTACATGAACGCCAGCATAGTACTTACTTCTATTAAAGGATTTGTAAGCAACATGAGAAGTTGTAGACAGTCGCAGCTCTAATACGTTCCATGAAGTACTAGTACTTAAGTAGTCAGATCCTCATAGATATGATCAATATTTCTCCGATATGGGAACTCAAGAATGTTAAAACAATCAGGTCTTCCTATTTTATGCCCAACTCCAAAGGGAGATAAAGGGTGAAGCTGCGGCCCGTACTGTAAGGCAAGAATGTAAGCATGAACTATGAGAGCACATGTCGCTTTCCGGTCTGGGTAAGCCACCGGCCGTGAAGTAGGTGGGTTGAGATCACTCGGGGTTCATCGCAAAGTACCGCTTCCCCACCCCCGTCGGGAGACCGGCCAAGATCAGATTACTGTGGAAGAAAATGCTCGAGATTAAGATCAAAGCGATGGAAGCTAGTGTGGTTGGGGGACGTTGACTGATGGTGACAGGTCGGAGTCCGTGTTGGCTGCACAGATGGTCCGGACCTTCAAATCGAGGTTCGAGCAGGCAAAAAGTTCGTCATCGTCAACAATTTCCCCCGAGGCTGTATTCATCACCATTCGGTATTTGTGCTACGCGATCTGCGTGGATTGGAAAAAGTATCCTGATACCCACACCTCTTGCGACTGCAATATTACATGTCATTGGCTTCATACTAATTATGTTCACCTTTCGAACTCATGACAAAGGTCAATCGCCCCTTGCAGGTCCTTCTGAGTATGCACGTTTGGTGTTTCTCGACATCCCTTGACTGCATTCATGAAACCATGTCCCATAGCAACTTGGCCGAGCCACTGCGAGACTTCAGACGATGGCATCTTATATAGCTTCAGCAGGCTCCGGCAAATTTGAAGGTTGCACATGTGTTCCGGTAGATCAGCAGTGTTTTCTAGCATACGATAGATTGAACATGACCTTCAAAGTAGCGAGTCTCATCTGGGCGTTGGCTGCCTTTACAGGACTGTCCCATCAATCTCCAACACTGCACCGCCGTGACAAAGTCTCGGATCCACTTAGCTTCAGCAAGGACGGCAACTTCAAGATCTCCATCTTCGAAGATCTTCATTTTGGAGAGAGTAAGTCTATCAAGTGAGAATCAGAACAATGGCTACGGACACTGTGCTCTGCTGATGTTGCACACTTGTAGACGCCTGGGAGTCATTTGGTCCTGCTGCAGACAAGAAAACTGTCGGCGTCATCACCAAGGTGCTGGACGATGCCAAGCCAGACTTGGTGGTACTAAACGGCGACCTCATCACCGGAGAAAATGCCTTTGCCGAAAATGCAACCTTCGTGCTCGATCAGTTGGTGAAGCCAATAGTCGATCGGAATATCCCCTGGGCCAGCACTTACGGCAACCATGACTATCAACAAAACGTGACGGGGAGCGATATCATGGCGCGGGAGAGACAATGGCCAAATTCTCGAACACAAAGGATGGTCAGCGACTCCAATGCTGGGGTATCCAACTACTATCTACCGGTTTATGCTTCCGACTGCACGAAAGACGATTGTACGCCGGAGCTGGTGTTGTGGTTCTTTGACAGCAGAGGCGGCTTCTATTTCATGCAGACTGAATCGAATGACGCAGCGAAGTTGGTGGGCCAACCCAACTGGGTCGACGAAAGCGTCGTCAACTGGTTCAAGTCCACCAATTCAGATCTCAACAAGAAGTACAACAAGAACATTCCAGCTGTCGCATTTGTTCACATCCCACCAAAGGCCTCGAGCGCCATTCAAGCGCAGGGCATCGACCCTGAGAAGAATCCCGGAATCAACGACGATTCTCCGCTGTCGTATCAGGCTCAAGGCTGGTGCAAAGATGGAAGCCAAAAAGATTCCTGTGACTACGGCGGCCAAGACTCGGCATTCATGAAGGCGGTTGCTGATAGCCCGGGCATGATAGGACTGTTCAGCGGCCACGACCATGGGAACAGTTGGTGCACGAAGTGGAAAGGCTCTGTCAGCGGTGTTTCTGTTGATGGGACGGGTGTCAACCTGTGTTTCGGTCAGCATACAGGCTATGGAGGGTACGGAAATTGGATTCGAGGTTCGAGGCAGTTGTCTTTCACCCGTGATAAACTGTCAAGAGGAGAGCTTGACACGTTTATTAGTCTGGAGTCTGGAAACATTGTTGGATCGATTACTCTGAACTCCACTTACGGAGAAGATAAGTATCCGACAACTTCAGACGACAGGACATGAACTGAGGTTCTGGACACCGCGAAATTGCCGCTTTTCTGTCAAGCAAGTAGAAGGTTGGCATCGGCATTATACCCTGAAACTGCACGTAATGTTAATATAAAGAATTCATGATTGATGGTCTGTGCCCCCCTAGCATGCCTGGTCGACTCAGAGGTTGTTGGATCCTTACTCTTCTTTTCTTCAGTTTAAGCGGACTTAGAGTGTGGAAACTACTTCTCCCTGATCTAGGTAATCACTTCACCAGCTATCCGCAGCTTTGGGCGCGATGACCCTCTTAATTCAGTCGGGATCTACCTGCCAAGTACACATCGTGTACCCCATCGAAAGCGGAATGACATGCGGGGAAAAGTAAATTTGGGCTTATTTCCATTGTTTCCACGTATCATAAAATTGTGTCGAGAGCAGATTTGGAGATGAGTTGAGCTTAAATTAGCACTCGTTGTTTACGACTTTCCACCCTCGAAGAAATATACTCAACTACATCGATCGTTCCCGGACTAGCAAAACGACAATACGGTCCACAAGCAAAAGATCTTGACCAGCATGGGGGTCGAACCCACAATCTCCTGATGCCACGGTATATCGTAGTCAGACGCCTTGCCATTGGGCCAACCGGCCAGACAATTGAAAACATCTCGGATGCTCGTCTGTGGAGCGACAAGGCCAGTTTGCGGTTTATCACCCAGAACCAGAAATCTCGACGTTCTCCAACGCACAATCAATCACGCCTCTAAGTCTTTGCGACTCTGGTTGTTATTGTTGGAAAACTGCTCCACCCTCGTTGTCAAGAGGATCCCCGTCACCGCCACGCCCCTGTTACATCCCACGACGCTATCGAGCCCGTTGGAAAGTAGCTGATGTCGGAGGCGAGCCGACCCCCTCATCACACCGACTGGTTGGTCCAAGAGAGTTCCATAGCCGCCCAACGGCTAAAGTCTCATCACGCCAACGTTCCGCACTTGGAAGTTGGAACCAACAAGAGCATGTCGAGACCATCAATAACAACAATGTCATTCAGAACCCTGCTCCTAGAAAACGTGCACTGATATCCGTAATTAGCTTTCGAAAACCTAACCCATTCATAATAGGCCCCTCTGCCCGTTCTTCCATGTGCCGCGGCCTTCCACCCCCTTCCCCCCCGCACCAGCTGCTCGGTTCTCCCACGCCACGCAGAACCCGACAGTTTGGTTCGCCCATCCTCGTCATTGACACACATATACGCTCCCTATATTTTGAATCAGATGGACGTCGACGGCGATCTTGAATTGCAAGATGAGGTAAGTCGTTAGACTCGCTATTGGAACTATTCACCATGATTTGGAGTTAAATGCTGACAGTTGTAGGGGACAAATGCCGAGGCCATGGACTCTGATCTCGACTCTGCGATTGAGGATATGGAGGTATGTTCACCACCAATTGAGTCGGGCATATTCACTCTGCACATAACTAATGTCATCAGCCTCCCGCGCAGCCCGACCTCCTCTCAATAACGTCAGACATTTTCGAGTATCAGTTTGAGAACGGCAGATCATACCATTCGATGAGCGAAGGCAGTTGAGTCTGCCACCAGTTTGCCTCAATCACACGGGCTTCTGGCTAACGAGTAACAGAATATGCGTATCCGAATGACGATGTAATTACTTCTTTCTGTTCCGCTATCGTTATCTGCTTGAGACACGTTAATCTGATTTGAGAGTGTAGCTGGAACTCGTACGTTACGGTACGTGTTACTATTGGTTCTCTTCCCGGCAACCTTACTTACAGAGAGTAGATCTTCAACATCATCTGTGGTTGATCACACTCGATGGAGAATTAGCAACAAGCCCTGGCAGAGAAACCGCAAGGCGAGTTTTGGATCTGGGAACCGGAACTGGAATCTGGGCGATTGACTTTGGTGAGTGATGAACTTGTAACCGATTCTCGCTGACTGCGAGACTAACACTTTATTAGCTGATGCATATCCCGGCTCTGAGGTACAAGAAGAATACAAAGAACCCCGGTCTTCTGCTAACTCAATTATTTTCAGGTTATCGGTGTGGACCTGAGCGCTATTCAGCCTGATCTGTAAGCATGAGCCTCCCTCCGTCCTCTATTTTCTTGGCTGATCAATCTCATGTAGAGTTCCCGCCAACTGCAGGTTTGAGATAGATGACCTCGAGCTCGATTGGCCCTGGGAACAACCTTTTGACTATATTTTTAATCGGTCTTGTGCGGGCAGTTGGTCAGACTTTCGATCCATGATTCAAAGAGCATACGAGTAAGAATTATGCCTCTCTACTCGCTTGACTTGCTGAGACTGGCGCAGTCATTTGGAGCCCGGTGGCTACTTCGAAGTTCAAGATCTCGAGCTCCCATCTTACTGCGACGACGGGTCTGTGCCACCTGACGCCGCTCTCTACCGCTGGCAACATGCACTTGTGGATGCCTCAAATGAGGTGGGTCGGCCTATCAACTACGCTGTAGACTGTCTCGACGATCTTCACAACGTCGGCTTTGTCGAAATACACCACCAGATTTACAAATGGCCTTTCAATAACTGGCCCGATGACCCAAAACTCAAAGAAGCCGGTCGATGGAACTGCGCGAATCTAGATATGGGCCTCGAGGCGTTCTCTTTGGGCCTCTTGACGAGAGTAAAGGGCTGGACGCGAGATGCCGTTGAGGAGTTGTGTGCAGAGGTCAAGAAGGAGGTCAAGGATACAAGGCTGCATGCCTACTGGAGACAGTGAGTCGTTACCTAAGTCGTCCTAAATCGACGTCCAGGTTTCCTTCGAGACTACTGACGATTTACTAGACACGTTATCTATGCTCGGAAACCCTGTAACTCATCAATACCATCATAGATAACACGAGACCTAAACACGGTCTATGAATTGTAGAATCTGCAGTGATAACTCACATCTGTCGCCCGTTCTGAAGATAGACAGTGGTACCACAGCTAGCCAGCCAGTCACAAACAGCTGGCCAATATAATATTTGCGGAGAAAGGTTGGGTCTTATCTGCTTCTCCTGTCTTCAAGATTTAAACAAAGTAATGGGCTTTTTCTGGGGGCTCCATGATTTCCCAAAGACCCTTGACTTTTGCAACAACCCGATATAGATGTGTACCTCTATTTCCCTCCCTTACTGTTGATCCCACATCGAGATTTCGGGAATCAGCCTGGCCAGCCGTGTCCTTGTCTTTCCATCCTGAATCGTCTTCCCCATCAGGCTTTTCCTCAGCGATTTGCTCCACTACCCAGCAGGTACTCAACGAACGGATCCCTGGCCGGGGCAAAAACTCCCAATCAGCGTCATATGCCGTGGCAACGAGGCAGGGCTTGTCAACGTCAAAAACCGAGACAAGCTTCTCTGCGCGATTAGTTTCAACCTCGGGACTCCAAGGATTTGCCGTCAAAAGGTAGGCTAGATTGGTTGCCTGATTGCGCATCATGCCTGGAGGAAGCTTGCCATTTGAGGTAGACTCGTCGTTCTCGGCAGAATTTTGACTAACGACATTCATCGCAGTAGCTATCATACCAAACACCAGTTGCCGACCCGAGATCGATATCATGAGGCTGCTTCTTCGAGAGACATCTTCATCACTCGTCTGAGGCGCCTTGACAGTTGGTCTTGTATCCATTGGGTTATCGACGCGGGTGTACCGCCCGACCCAAAGGGTCCCATCTGTCATAATCCGCTCGACAAACCACGGCTGATTGTAAGATCTTCCATCAGGGGACGGACTCAAGTGTAAGGCGTTGAAAGGCGTAGTCGCGTCCAGTGGGTGTTGGAACAAGTCTGGTCCGACTTTGTCGGGAAGAGACGGATCGTGAACATCACCCTCTCGTATCGACTGCCAGATGCTGTCTGCCACGCCTGCGGCCATTGAATTCTCAGCCATAGACAGGTCGTAGAGATATTTCAATATCCCAAAAATTATACGCGCGAGCTGTAACTGGGTCTCCTTGTTCCTCTCGACGATATTGGGCGAAAGGCAAACATCGTTGCTGACTTCTTGGCTGTCGGAGTCGGCGCCAGTGTTAAGTTGCAATTCAGGCTCCGTAGTCTCCTTGTCATTCCGGGAGATCTTCAACCGATGCCAGTTCTCTGACCATTGGTACTTGAGAATCGTGAGATCAAGCTCATTCTCTACCTTCCAGATATAAGAAGGAAAGTTGAGTCCAGGCCTCCGCATATCGTGCGCCGTTGGCTTAAATCTGACCAGGCCGCCATGTTCAGCAAACTCATAGCAAATCTGATGAGCGCTGGTGTTGAAAGGCTGAAGCAGTGTCGGCCCCAGATCAGCTAAACAAGGCAAAGGTACCTTGTCTTTGCTCCCGTACTCGGGGAGAGATCTGTAGAGTTCAGGCACGAACAGGCATAAATCACCGTTCATTATGGCCAGTGCAAGCAGTGCGATCCGCAGCGATCCGCCACGGGCCTTGACAGCCCGCGTGTCAAGCCGAATATCATACCCGCACATGTTGGCCATGATGGCGATGCGGTGGTGGGGACGACTGCAAAGCCTGGTTCGGAAAATTGTGAAGGCACCAGCCGCATTTGTTTTTCGTCGGCGTCCGTACGAAGCGCCTCCAATCATGTGAGGAATGAACTTTCGGTTCGGCGTAACAGGTCGCAAGGAAGTGACTGCCTTCAAGATAGAAACGACGTATGGTTTCAGAGTCAGAAGTACGGGAGAGTCAGCAATAGATTGATTCAAAACGCCGTGATTGAGTTTGCCGATGCCTTCCACAAGATTCTCAAGATCACGCTCCGTTATAGACCATTGTGTCGCTGGCATCTGGCGTTTCGAGTTATCGAGACCATGTGCAGGCACACAGAGACTGTTAATAAACTGATGTTTTTGCTCCCTCGAGCCTGTCAGACTTACGCCTGGGGCAAGTGGAAAACCCAGCCATAGCTTCCCCGAAGCGCTGATAGATTCCTGGGCAATCCATGCCCGTTGGTACCATTTCTCCTTTGTAACACTGTTCAGGAAGTCCAAGACGGGCGGTATGACGGCGGTAAGGAACACGTCATGGAGAGAGGCTCGCGTTTTCGGCCTGAAAACTTGGGCAAGAGCTTCTATCGCTCCGATCTGGTTCAAGCTGGTCATAGCTGTAGAGTGTAAGCCGGCCGTGATAATGGCTCGATTATACACGATGTCCATAGCCTGTAAGCCGATTTCCCGATCATCTTCGTCGGTCTGCGGCAGACACTCTTGGTCGATCCAGATCATGCGAAGCCCACAAGTCTTTACAAAGTCTACAGCGCGGTCGAGAACTTTGTCTAAGGCCCGGTTCCTTCGGATGCTGCCGTCGAGCTCGCGTATTTCATACGTTCCCTCCACTGAAATATATTTGCCTTTGCTGTCCTTCGGGCGCGACGGCCAGCAGTATGACAGAGAGATGTAGTGGGAGCAAAGCCTGGGTGGTGGTTGCTTCTTAGGATCAAGCAAATCCCGAAACCTCAAGAGTCGTAGTTTGCGTGGTTTTTGGTCGTGAGGGAACTCTGGTAAGAGAGAGCATACCTCGCACGGAGCCTGTTTTCCATCACTGTTCTCGGGCTGTTGACCGAGGTACCTTTGCTTTGCAGCCTTCGATGGGCCTGCTTCTGTTGCTGGCCGTTTCAAGGCCCGCCTGCTGTCGGAGAGGAGGGTGGGTTCTGTATCAAGCTGCTCGTGGCCCGTCCCAGCGTCTTCCAGAGACAGCTTCATCGCACATTTTAGTTTGCTGTCTTCATCGTCGCTGTCGTAAGTTTCTGGGTTACCGATCGAGGTACTGAGCGATTCCTGTGGCTGTTGAACTTCGTCTGAGTCGTCGTAGACCAAGAACTTGATGTCTCTGAAAGCCCAAGTCTCATATCTTCCGCGATACATGTTCAGCTTGTATAGCTCCTTAATCTGTTCGAAAGCTTCTGGGCCGAGGGGAGGGAAACTACCGTCAAGATCGTAGTCCATCCCCATTTCATCATCCACGGCTTTTGACATGCTGGCTGGACCAGCTGAGGTGGACATCTTGGGTGTGGGAAGAATTATGCTAGGTGGTATAAAGTGAAATTCTGATGTGGACTGTGCCTTAAATAGTCATTTCAAGGTCTCGATTCAATCCTGTAGACACAGAGGTGTAGGTGTTGAAAGGTGAGCAAGGACAAATGGAAATTCAGTTTTTGACATCTAGATAGACGAGACGTTCGCTGGAACTTCTGTTGGTTTTTGAAAGGGAGTTTGTGAAGACAACGATGTATCCCTTTTTAAGTGCGAGTCGTTCGAAGTAACGTAGCCAATATTTGTGGTCTGCGGTACCCAACGACCCAGCTTTTGTGACACATTAGCTCACGACAGTCACATGGGAGGAACTCGCTCAGCCAAGATATTAGGGCACGGCGTGAACGAATCATTGTAAGCAAGAGGCCTCATCTTGTCTCAGCCGTACACGTTGAATCGGTCATCCGTGGATCTGCACGGTACTAAGGCAGGGAGACGTATTTCGTGTTACCGGACGCATGTGCTTGCTGAGACTGTTGTGGATGTGCTCTCCTGACCAACGAGACTTTTCTTTCACTCACCGCCGCCGGTAACAGCGGCTCCCTGCAGAACATGTCGCCCGATGGCATCCGTCTGGCAGTCAGCAGTTGCTCAAGTCTTTGCGTTAGTGCGCGCCGTGCCTCGCGCGAAATTTAAAAGACCAACGGAAGCAATATGCAACCATTTTACTTGCCGTAGAAGACGTGAGGCTGTGACAGATGTACATAAGACACAGTCTGCCTTCTGTAAAAGCTCTGTGGGGGAGGGCTCAACTCCAAGTGCCATCAGCCAGTACCTTTTCAAGGTTTCTTCCCTCTCCATACTGCAAAACTGTTTTGGAATACTTCGCAACTGAGCCTTACTATTGCTAAGACTCTGATAGCACTCTTCTTGAGATATATGACTGTCGAGTCCGCAACCTCACAGTCAAAACGTCAATCCCGCAAGAGCCTTTTGCTATGGAGGTGCTAGGAGCGGTTGCGTCAGCGCTGACTCTAGTGGATGTTGTCTGTCTCAGTACTCAAGGCATAACCCGGCTTCATTCAAAATGGAAAAACACCCCCGCAGCTGTGATGGCTCTTGAGAAAGAGCTTGAGCATTCCCGAGACGCTCTGAGCCAGCTGAGCGGAATAATTCCTATCATTAGCAACGCGCCGACGCCTCAGCCACATGCATTCACCCTCAGTCTTGCATCTCCTGTCAGTTCACTGATGAGAAAGATTGACGAGCTGAATTTTATACTTCAAGAGCTAGAAAGTATCTTAGGATACTTTAGAGATACGGATAGAAAAGTGACTCGCTTTCGTTGGCTAAAGTGCCAGAGCGATGTCGAAAGGAAGAAAGATTTGCTAAGAAATAGTCGGCGCAGTATCCAGGAGTTCGTACAATATTGGCATGTGTGAGTAAAGTATTCTCTGAAACATGTACCGTTTTTGTTCTACTTCATGCTGTTAGGAACACTAACTTTGCGTATTGGACATTGCAGGCAGCAACACTACGCTACTAGCTTATAGCTTCGACTCCTGGCCGACGATGTTAGAACTCTGAATACACTGTGTTTGTGCCAACCCTTGCTCAATACGCGCGGAGAAACAGGGCTTCCGCCGGCGCCAACCAACCATGAAGCTGTTCCCGCAGAGCTCAGTTTGGTTTTATCCAGGCTTCGAAGTTCGCAGCATGCAGCTTTATCACATGCCCTGCCCCGACTAGCCTCTCCAGTTTTGCCTCCCCTGGGAGAGTTGACGTCTGTAGACACAAGCCAGCACATCGGATTGGGCGCAGATAGCAGCTCAACTCCTGAAATGGAGACAAGATCCATAGAATTCCATGTTCACAGTCCAGAAGTAACAATATCAGCATCCCCCAACGATCGGCTGAGCCAGCCAAGCACATCGCCATCAATTTGGACCAATGCTTCAGGCACGGCCACAGTATCTTCAGATTACACAATCAAGCGAATTGGACTATCTTGTGAGCCAATTTGTGAATGTACCTGTCACACTCAGGTTTGGCAGTCACGAATAGGCCAAATAAATATCTTCAGACATATATTTGGCACCGCCGCAGTAGGCTATGTCAACGTGTCAACCCCCAAAACACGATGTAACATCTCAACGTGCCAACGAGCAAAAGGGGGTTTTTCTATGACAATACGTTATGTCTTCCCGACCTGGATAACTTGCAGGATTTTATTTTCATCAATCTCGTCCTTTAGGCTTGAAAAGAACCAGTTTACTCTTAGCGCAAGCCGACGAGTTGCTTATGCACCTGGTAATATATTCTCCCTGATCAACTCTAGAGACTACCCGGGAGCCGTCGAACTACTGCGAAAGGGGTCTGCACATATCAGAGACATCGAGACGAGACACGGCAACTCTGTCCTGCACACTGCACTGAGACATGCGACTTTTCGTCCCGGGTTCATTGGGTTTATGAGGTTCTTGATGCGAAACGAAGTCGACATTCACTTGCCCAACAATCGTGGCGAGACCCCGTGGCTACTTGCCGCTTGCCTTATGCTACCCAACATGCCCAGTACTCTCGTCCCAGCCGAGCTGAAGGAGCAATTGTGTCACCTGTTTCCTCGGCCTGACTGGACCAAACTGCAGTTCACTCACCTACATATGGTCGTTTCAGGTCTGCGTCCTCTGGACCTCAAGCTAGTGCTCCAACAGCGAGTGTACAGATCTCAAGTCAACTCTAGAGACGTATTGGGTCGCACGCCTCTAGCACTCGCAGTGATTATGGGAAACCACAGTGCTGCAGAAGATCTTCTCGCGGCTGGTGCGACTTTTGAGAGGTGCGGTTCGGACCTCATCAGGAAGGCTATTCACTCTCGAAGCAAGTTCTGCGTCGAACTTCTACTCAAACGATCAGCGAACGCGTTCGCCGTCGATGGCCGTGGCGCCACACTGATACACACGGCCGCTGCTGGATGCGATAATCTGCCCCTAATGGAGTTCCTCCTGACGGCAGATACTCGTTTCGATTCGCCAAACCTCCATGGGTGTACACCGCTATCCTTCACGCCACTACACGATAATCACAAAGTTGCCTCTCTGCTTCTATCTAGGGGTGCTGATGTCAACAATGTAGATAAGGACGGCGACACCCCGCTCACTGAGGCTGTGCGGCTCAATGCGCACAGCTGTCTCCGCATATTTATAGAGTCGGGCGCAAGTATGAAGGTAGTCAACAAGCGTGGCTGGACATTGTTACATTTCGCAGGCGCGTATGGAGACGCTTCGACTCTGAGAACTCTCTTGGCAGTTTCTTTGAGTGCCGAGCCTTGTATCGACAACGATGGCGAGACACCACAGACTCTGTTCAGAAGACGAAAGTCTACATCCTTGGAGACTAGTGAGGGGTTTGAGGCATTGATTTCAAGTTTAAGAGCGTAGCCAACATTCAAGAATGTATTTAAATGGAAATGGGGTCAAGTATTGGAGCGCAGGTCTGAGTCCAGACCAGACAAGCCAGGACTTGTCATGGTGACTGCCAAGCTGGAAGAAGTCATGACATTATGACACCATCCTAAGATGATAGGGAAATCTAGCACGTCCGCCCTAATTTACCTGTTCAGATCATACGCATTGGGAGAAGCCTTCAGTTCAAATACAAGTTACACAACGACAGACGCTCTTGATTCAGCCACATCAAAATTTGAGCACCAGCTTACAGCAATCCATGGAGGGGGCAATCTTGAACGCCTTCCGGAAAACTTTGGATCAAGTCTGTCGAGAGAAGCTCTTCCATTGCTCAACAAGAAACTGCAAGTTTGATGCATTCGCAACACTCGCCATATGCTCAAGACGCAATAACATCACCGAGAATCTCGCAAAGACTCAGGGCAACTTTGAGGCACCAAGAATGAGATACAAGGATATCGGGCTAGTTTTCAGACCAACAGTGTTCTCTCCGCCTTCGCCTATATCCTTCCGAATTGCCATTTCATCGCTAACACAGACGGCTGTCACCCTTACAGACAGGTTGACCGCGGTTGATGTGCAAAGGTGGGAGATACCAAATAAGTTTCATGGCAAAGGGCCACCCAGATAAGACTATTTCTATGAAATTTTCTAACATAGTTCTATGGGCAATGGATATCATACATCCAAGTCTCAGCCGACCTTAGAGGCGAGGAGTCACACCGGGGCAGAAAGATACTGGTAAAAAAATCCTTTCTGATGTTTTCGAGTCTTTACAGGCAACAGAGTGTGCACTCTACTTTTGTGCCAAGAGGACGAACTCCATTGTGGAATATGTTAAGCTGAGGGAAGAGGCTATTAAGATCGAGGGTATGACAATAACCCGTAGTTCATGGGAGTACAATATACGATACAGCCCTATGCCACTGACCTGGGTTGCGCCACCAGGCGAAGAGCAAAGTCTACCAATTGGTCAGCAGGAGACCATAATCTCTTCTACCTTCTTTGCCCCCTCCCGACTGGGTTACGATAGCATCAAAGTCGATGGCATCACCCGGCGATCATTTTCAGCAACGTCTTATGTGAGCACCTTGGCAAGATGATCTCAAAATTCGGGAGGAATTGAGAAGAATCAGGAGTATGGAGAATGCGGTTGGTTTCAACGGCGTGAAAGTGACTGGACATCTCACCAACCATATCCGCACGATTTAGGTCGTCTGCTACCTAACCCTAAGGATGGGTTTCAATCGGTCTCTGCTGTTTTGAAGTGCTCGCAGCAAGCATGACGAACGAGATGCGGCGCGTATCCTCTGAAGAAGACGCGGCCTTTCATGGACTTCGCACAATGCCCAGTGAGGGGTGGCGTGTACTGCCGCTGTGCTCTACTAGGTCAATTAGCAGTTGATTGCAGTGCATATCGCTCTGTTTTTGCTGATTTTCTTGTTTCTGTTGTTCACGATGATCAAATCTGGCGAACATTCGGAAACGCCGCTGTGGAAGAACAGCTCGCCAGGGATCCTTCGGCGTGGATACGACATGGGCGGGTTATTGTCCAGCGGCAAGGCCTCTATCCAAGAACTTGAGAATGCTGCAAGGAAAATGTGCATATGTGGGGGGCATGAAGTTGAAGGAGGGGCCACCTACAACGATTCTGCTGAGAGTGGCCTGTTTGGGAGAGCCAGATTGCCTCACGATCATCTGAAGACGGAAACGTTGCCCGTCTAGGGTTTCGACGCCACGCAGGTGTTTGTTGATTGATTCAATAAGGCGGTTCATCAGTGTTACTTCCCACATTTCCCAGTTTCAAAAGAATTGCTCTCCTCTTCTCTGGATTGTGCCAAGAATACTTCCTTTTGTCTTTGCATTATGCCATCTGCGGTCCATGGTCACTTTGACAGCGCTCGTATGTTCTGCTTGCTCCAATGCATTCACTCCTGCAAAGTTAGCCTCGAGTACGGCATACGTACTTAGTATCAAAGAAACCCAAAGTCCCAATATCAACTGAGACATCAAGCTGTCATGCGGCGTAGAACAATCAAAAGACTACACAAATGGTTTATATCAAGGTTGCATTGCATGCTGTGCATCGTGGGCAGTGCTTTGGCCGATGGAACTTCTACAAGCGAGTTCTCCTAAACTTGTAGCAATCTCTCATTTTGAATATACCTGGACCAATGAGAGCAAGGTTGAATAGGCGCGTGTGTTATCTAGTCGCCGTCCAACCTATCTATGCGCACTAAAATTACCTAATCGCCATCTCGCACCCCTTCGTGCCTCTTCGCACCACAGCATGGCTCATGTAGCCAAAGATGACTAATATACATGAGGGTAATTCATTGGTCAATCATCTCTCGAAAGTGGAATAAAGCCCCTCGCTGGAAGACATAACCCTCACGGTACCCATGCACTTGCCATAGGTACTAGTGTGATGTGGTAATATGTCACGTAACAGGGATAGTAACCGCAGACCGCGAAGTGCCCGTCACGTGCTGTATCACGTGTATATCACTTACATCTTGCATATAGGCCTTTTTCTTTTGTCTATTTCCACTTTGATAGGTTAAGCCACTTTACCACACTCCGTATGCCCATTGCTGTGTGCCATAACTCGTGACATAATACCATTGTTGCTTAATGCGGTTCTTCCCCGAACATGATGTGTGATGCGTGGAGCCTCGGACTAGAGACTGGAGCATTTCTTGAGCTATGGATCCAATCATGGCCTGCATGTTTTGTTCCGTTACCTAGTCACTGGCTCCAAGTCTCCCTGTGGGTCTGAATGCGAGCTGCAGCGAGCGACTCGTCTAAGTCCTCGCTGTCAATATTGAGAGGTTAACTAGTTGACAACTCAACTGCAGCATCATCGCCCAAGGGATATCGCCCGATTGAAGTGAGGCCAGCGTTGCTTCAGAGAAGCGAGTGTTACATTGATCAAGCGAAGTGGGGAGAAGCCTAGCCTGGACTGGGCTATAGAGGTATTCTCAGGAGCTGGTGAGAGTTGCGAAGCTGAGGGATAATAGAAAACAAGTTCAAGAAGGTTTCTCGATCTGAATATAAAAGCACACGACTGGAACCTGTTTTTCAGAAAGTGAGCCTACTGATATTTCATAAGACAACATTCGAACTCGACTCCTCAGTCCACTCCATCAAAATCTTATAATCTCAAGCATCTAACTAAATCCCTTGCAATGCATCTATCTCTTTCCATCGTTGCAGCCCTCGCTGCCACTTCAGCAGCCTTCAGAATCCCCGAAGGCGCAACCGACGGCACCTACCTAGCCTACTACGACGAGTCAGGCAATGAGGTCCACGTCAAAGACCCCAATCCCATCACCGTGGCCGGCCTCGCCTCGACTGACACTCAGGCGCGAGCCGTGAAGAGGCCTGGCCTCTCTCGGGCCCGCCGCTCCCCGGCCCCAAGCGAGCTCTTTGAGCGCGCGGCCACGGTGTGGTGCGGCTGCGGCAACTACTTGAACAGCATCGATTGTGACCGCGTCGTCCAACAAATCAAGAACGAAATCAATGCCGCGGGCGGCCAGTCCGACGTTGGAGCTGGCCTTGCGTGGTACAAGATCAGCGGCAACGTTGTCGCGTTTCTTTGTGGCCGTGGGCCTGGCAGCGGTCGCATCTCCGAGGCTAGCTTCGCTGCAGGTCTGTCGACTATTACGAGCGCTTGTGGTTACTATGTTGCGGGTACCATCGAGAATGGCAACCTTGACATTGGCTACATGAACAATGATCCCAGTGTTTGGTTTTGCGAGAGAGCCCGATGGTCTACCAAGCATGAGTGTTAGTTCATTACGGGATATGCTTCAATTTTATTGTACTCGTGTGAGAGTCAATATGAAATCTTGAGGCCGGTAGTTGGAATCAAGCGTTCTTGCGCAACGATGCACAACAACTTGGGTTGGGGTTGGCCATTCTCGGTCCGTGTGACTTGGCCCATATCTGGAGAACTAGTATCATTCTTATTTCTCAGCAACGATTAATCAAAGCATATTATGAAAAATACATAGAGGACGATGATTTAATCTGTCTGTCTATTGTCTTACCTATCTTCTATCCTCGCCAATTTCGTGCCATTCGTAACTTCTTATACTGATAGAGGAGAGCTCTTGATCCTCATGAAGCCAAAAACGGAAGAACTCTTTTGCACTGTCACGAAAAGACCCAAGAAAATCCTACAATCACCTATCAACGGATCAACTGCCTGAAGCGACGTAGCAGTGCATGTGTCGTTACTGGTTTTTGTGTTTCTATGATTAAGTATAAAATACAAGTTCGAATGCCAAAATTACAGTACAAGTAGTAAAAGTTTTCAAGGGAAAGAATGCCTTCTGCCCTCCCTTGGCTCATCTCCCCGAATGAATGTACATGGCTGCCGCATAATATCTTACAAGACTCTACAAGAGTCGACTTCGAATCTTGCGCTACTGAGGTCCATTAATAGCAGCCTGTGCAGCTCTCTTGACACGTCTCATCTTGACGCCGCCACGAGTGGACCAGTACTGATCCAGCCTCGTCGTAACCTCATCAACGTTGTTGTAAGGTTGAAGCGACGCCATGAACTGCACTTTCTGCGTGATAGCATCGGCGCTGAAAGCCGTAGCAGTAACCGGAACAGCTCTCCACCTAGCCTCCATTGGGTCGGCAAAGGAAGTCTCGTTGTACCCGAAATCAGCCAGGGCTGTCACGTTGAACGCCGCCATCATCTCGTGATCCTCGTGGATAAGGTTATGGCAGTGGAACATGTACACGCCATCCCACGGGGCATAGTGCGCCTCGACACGTACAACCTCACCAGCGTCAAGCCAAACCACATCCTTCAGGCCAGCAGCCTCGTACGGAAGGACGGGTCTCTTCGCTTTGGTGCGGCTGAGGACGCGGAAGTCAACGAGGTGCACGTGGATGGGATGCGTCCAGCCGCCGCCGCCGTTCTCAAACTCCCAAATCTCGACCTTGCCGCGGGGCACGTTGGCGAGGATGCGGTTCTTGACATCGCTGAAGCCGACACCGTTGATCTTCCAGCCGCCGCCCTGGCGATGGAACAGGAACTTGCGGTCGACGCCGTTGCCCTGCGACGGCGGGAAGGGAACGTTGCGAAGGTTGGCGGGGACGACGGCGTTGTCGACGACGGCGGGCTTACTGACGACGAAGCGCATCACCTGGTTCGTGAAGCCGTAGTCCGTATCCTTGCCAACGTCGTTTTGGTTGCGGAGCGTAATGTTTTGGCCCGCGAACTGGCTGAAATCGAAGACGACCTCCCAGCGCTCGGCCATGGAGATGGTCAGGGTAGAGGATGTGACGGGGCCGGTGAGAAGGCCTGCATCTGAGGCGATGACTTGGAAAGGAATGTTGGCACCGCCGGTCTGACGCTGGAAGTAAAGGATGAAGGATCGTGAGACGGCGGAGTTGAGGAAGCGGAGGCGGTACTTGCGGGGCTCGACCTTGAAGAAGGGCCAGGGTTGGCCGTTGACATGGATGACATCGCCCCAGAGGCTGTCGGTCTCGCCAGCGGGAGAGAAGAGGGAGCCATCGTTGTTGTACTGCTTTGATGAAAGGACGAGGGGGATGTCGTTCACACCGTACCCGGTGGGGAGACCAAGAGCATCTTCGGCGGGATCCTGGATGATGTAGGCACCAGCCTGACCAAAGTATGCGTTGACGGCAGTCTGACACTCATGGTCAGCTAGATGGGACTGAGATAAGGTCTGAGAAAACTTACGATATCCATCGCGTGATCGTGGTACCATAGGAAGCGCCCACTCTGGCTGTTGGGGTAGTAATAGTCCTTGTACTGGCCAGGCAGGATGCGATCCTCCGCCCACCCGTCCCAAGGTGCCCTCTGACATGGTATTAGACAAGTGGGAAGTTAAGACAGGACTCGAGAGACTTACAGAAGGCGAACCGTGAAGATGCACCGCACTCGGCAGAACAGCCTTGTTGGTGAATCTGACAACCGTCTCCCGTCCCCTGGGGACCAAGAAGGTAGGGCCAGGGGAGATGCCATCGTATCCCACAAGCGAGGCCGGTCCCTTATTTGGATAGACCTGCTGCTTGAAGGGGACGATGTCGACCTCGTAGTAATCGATCTGCTTGTTTGTGACCGGGTTCGTGATCGACCTGGGTTGTCATTAGTATACTAGTCAAGGGTTAGGGACTGCAAATCTCACATCTTGGGCTGCTTCACCGGCGGAATCGGCAGAGGAAACTGGTAGAAGTACTTGTACTCGGGACTCAGCCAGTCCTTTGCCGATGACCCTTCGAAAAGGGCCATCGCCGCCACGAGGTGAGAAGCTCGGAAGAACATCTTGTCAAAAGAGTGAAGGGGTGGGAGGAAGTTCGACGCGAGGGAAGCTAGGTATCGTTTCAGAGACGAAGCTTGGCCTGGTGATCCAACATCAACAGGCTACGAGGTGATGATGGCTTATATATGCCATTGTAGTGACCAAGGTTTTGGCCTGTATCCGTATTTCTCCTATTATGAAGGGAGAAAAACACCCGAGTGGCGTCGCCTGGGCATCTAGGCTATCGCCGCCTTGTCGCTCATAGCCAAGACTGTCCGAACATACATAGGAACGGAAGTCTAGATGTGTTCTCTGGGTTATGGCTCAGGCTCCGTGACTCGAGAGTGCACCCTTCTCTGAGCCTTGAGAAGAGAGTCTAGAACCTTAGAATAGCACTTTTCGCGGTGATCGGATGAACTGTGTAAGGTCAGCGCGTATAGGAAAAAGGCAGCCACTCCTGCAGAAACTATGACATCCTCCCCCACTTTCCGCGGAGGGCATCAAGATCTTCTTGCTCTATGTCGCTTTGGGGGGGAAAGGATCAAGCATCGCCAAGTCAATTGACGGAGCGCGCATCGGGTGACCCGAAGAATTGGTTTGGCTGCGAGGCTCCCGAACCCGTGCATGCATTTTCAAGCTGCACATTCGGCTATCGTACGTCAGTGCCAACTGTGCCATTCAGGGGGCATCATCGAAAATAGCGGAAATCGCAGAGTCCGGTGTTCTTGGCATCTGGAGATGGCCCTCAATCCCTCATGGAGACCGCACGCCATTAAGATATTCCACAACCCCAGCACGCACCCTTGGCGTAGTATGGAACAGAACAAAAGTAGGCTCCAATGCAAGTGCAGAGCATCTATGCCGCTCGCTGTTAAGGTCAAGAGGTGCAGGCTGCTGTAGCAACATGGACTGCCAAGGCGCGCCGGCAGGTACGTGTGTTTCCCCACGGACATGAAAATGGCAATGGTCAACAACTCCCCTTTTCGACATTTGCTTTCGAAGTTACACAAATGGGTTCGGAGATTGTTTGGAAAGCCTGTGAAAAGCTGGCAATGATCCCTTCGCAACGCTTTCCTCGGCGGCAGCTAACGTCGATCGCGAGGTTTATTTGCCGCCGGCATACCAACACACCCGTTCAGTTGAAGGATGATGGACGCCTCTTGGTGATCTCTCCGAGTGGCGCTTGAAGCTAGTGACTGTTCTCGATGAAGACCATCCGAAGGCCCGGACGCGCCCCCCTGAAACTGACGCTCTAGCTCGGATGGATAGACTCGGGGCTGACAGCTAGCTCATGTCGTGCAAGGCTCGTGAGCCACGTATTGATTTTGACTTCTCACGCAGATCCGATCTTAGACTGGCGTGATGGAAGATGACAGACCATTCGATAAATGCTTTTCTTCAGCCGGCAGCAAGATTCTGTCCAACTCCGGGCTCGGGGGAGGCGGAAGAGGTCAAGGAACAGCAGAGTCTCGAGCTGAAAAACATTGTCGGACTTGGGCCGGGGTGAAAGCCGGTGCTTGGACCCACTTACGCTCCGTGCCGATCCCGCGTGTAATTCGCGACTCCAAACTTTCTTCAATTACTTTGAGAAGCCTACAAATGCCACGGCATCAACCAAGCAAACATGGCATGACAAAATGCTACACAAAAGCAAAATGAAGGGGCTCAACCGGGGATCGAACCCGGGGCCTCTCGCAGAGTAGACAGATGTCGGAACCCAAAGCGAGAATCATACCTCTAGACCATTGAGCCAGTGTTGCGAGATGTTTGCATCTCGGAATGGGACTGCCGACTTGCGAGAGGTTTGTTGACTAAGTAGTCTCACGATAAGCTGGAACTGGTTTCTCTTTCTGTCACCATAACTTTCTGACAGCCAGATAAAGATATTGATTTGGTTGACCACAGAGCAATTTGCAAATAAGGGCGATTGAATAGACAACTTACAACATCGCGAGATGACAAGCTGTACTAGCGCAGAGTGCCACGCCTACCAACCAACAAAGGTTCTGACTAAAGAATGAACCGTCTTTGATGAACCGAATCATGTGGCCGGTGCTTCAACAGGATGGCACCGCCTTTGACGGCAACCGACGTCACCGCAGTTGACTCCATATGCCGCCGCAGTGGAAACCGACCGAGTGCCGGCAGCGAACCGGGATCTTATCTCTTTGTCTCTATTGGAACGTTATGATTTTGTTGAAACGTCTAGAATCTGGAACGAATGCTCCCATGTCCTTGTAGTAAGCACTCGACTGTTCGTGAGATCTGACGACGGCTGACTGAGAACCATCGCAGTCGTTGACGATGAGATGTACTCCAGTCGCCAGAGCCGCATGATCTCATTGCCAAGAGAAGAATAAAACAGCCGTGACGCGCGCAACTTTAATACTCTTCACGCCGAGAAACAAGGAAGCGTGGCCTCCATTGATCCCCGACAAACGGGGCCGCGCCGATTCTCCATCGTGGATCCCGCCGGCCGACGACCGATACCCGCGCCACCCAGCCTCTTCCGGGACGGCTATCGGCCGGTGACAAAAAAGGGACAGCCATCTCTCACCGTCGAGAGCACTAGGCGGGCGTGCCAACGCGTTATCATTCGCATCATCCACATCGGCGACACAAGTCAAGTCTTGCTCCACCGTTCATGTTCGTGATCCACATCTAGGGCACTAGCCTCTAGGCCATCATATCTGGTCGCCGAGAGGGTCTAGTCAACGCCGGCATCATGGGAACGGGACCCGCCCTCCCCACGAAATCTCTGCCACTGCCGTGATAGCTTGTTGAGGAAGCTGATTAGATGGCCTAACATCTGAATGTTTACCCTTCAGTCTTCTCTCCCATGTCCCGCAACGCACAAGAATTTTGTTAGTTCACATGGAACTGTCCGGGACGAGCAAAGGGCTAGACCTGGCCCAGAAGCTGCCCGTACTTCACTCAAAGAAGACCCGAGTAAACTTGTTCTAGATCGCCGTGTCAAGGTCCCATAACGTAAGGATGGATTGTCTTCCTCGGTCTGCTGCCAAGCTAGCTTCCCCCTTGTCCGACCTTCGATAAGTCTCGGGCGCCAAGGCGGCTGGCGGTGCGGCTTCTTGCAAAGCGGTCGGTCTTTGCCTCTCGAGACAGCCGTTGTCTCTATCCTATAACCAACCCATGTATTCTTCCAGGGCATACTTAGGTGCACTGTCTTCGCTCGGTCCTTTCCATCTGAACAGTGACGATCTTTGTTCCCTCTACATCGAGTGACAGCTATCAACGACTTGACATCCAGTCTTTCGAAACAATATTGAAAACTTTCAAGCTTACTCTCTCAGCAACAAAAGTACCTATATACTTAGCATCGAATAGAGTCAGGTATATCCGTAGCCAATATGGCGGCCAGCAAAGCTGGTGCGGTTCTCGCAAAGATTCTCGGTATCGATCTCGAAACCAGCACCCGCCACCAGACACAAGAACTTCATGACCACGTTGTCAATGCCATTTCGCCATATGAACCATACTATGAGGAGGATCCCACAGTAAAGGAGTGGCTTTTGGAGCAAGTACCAACAAAACAAGGATCATCTCGCTATGTTAAGAGTCTTTTCCCCTTTACGAAATGGATTCTGAGATACAACACTCGCTGGCTCATCTCAGATGCTATTGCGGGTAAGCACCTCCCGGGTTCCAAGCCGGATAACTTGGGCGGCTACAACTGACAATAATTTACTCAGGTGTCACTCTTGGTCTCGTCGTCATCCCACAAGCCATGGCCTATGCCCTCCTCGCCCGCCTAAGTCCTGAATATGGACTTTACACATCATTCACTGGCGCAGCTCTCTACTGGATATTTGGAACCTCAAAAGACATTGCGATAGGAGTAAGATGCCAAAAGTGTTACATCCTTATAGCAGTTTTATGCTGACTAGTCTATAGGCAACTGCCGTCGTCTCCCTCCTCGTCGGAAAAGTCAGCGCCAAAGTCCTCGAAGAACACCCAGGCGAATTCCAACCAGAAGAAATCTCCAAAACCCTCGCCTTCCTAGCTGGCGCCGTCCTCCTCATCTTCGGCCTCCTCCGCCTCGACTGGATCATCGAGTTCATCCCCCACGTCGCCATCTCCGCATTCGTCACCGGCGCCGCCATCACTATCACCCTCAGCCAGATTCCATCCCTCCTCGGCATCGACGGCGTCAACTCCAAAGAGGCTGCTTATCGCGTCTTCATCAACACGGCCCGTGGTCTGCCACGCGTTAAGCTCGATGCCGCCATCGGGCTGACGGCTCTGGTGTTGTTGGCTGCTATTAAATGGTACACGGAGCGTATGGCCCGATCTCAGCCTAAGCGGAAGCGGATGTGGGAGATGCTCTGCTCGCTGCGCATGACTTTTACTATCTTGCTGTACACACTTATCAGCTTTTTAGTGAATCGGGGGCTGGAGAACGGGGAGCACAAGTTCCGCATAACAGGGACACTGCCCAAAGGCTTCACACACGCCGGTCCGCCTTCACTAAACACCAAGCTGATCTCGGCGCTGCTGCCAGATCTACCGGCTACGGTCATCATTCTTGTGATTGAGCACATTGCTATCGGCAAGTCGTTTGGCCGCATCAACAACTATACTGTTCAGCCATCTCAGGAACTCATCTCAATTGGCTGCACCAACCTATTCGGCCCCTTCTTAGGCGCATACTCCTCGACAGGCTCCTTCGGCGGCACCGCCATTCTCTCCAAAGCCGGGGTAAGAACACCAATGGCTGGCGTCTTCAACGGAGCAATCCTCCTCCTAGCGCTATATGCTCTAACCTCAGTGCTCTACTACATCCCCATGGCCAGCCTAGCAGCTCTCATCATCCACGCCGTGATCAACCTCATAACCTCTCCAGACCACATCTTCAAATCATGGCTCATGTCACCGCCCGATGTCTTCATCTACTTCATCGGCGTCTTCGTCTCCATCTTTACCAGCCTCGAAGATGGCATCTACGTCACTGTAGCCCTCTCCGCAGCCCTCCTCCTCCTCCGCCTTGCCCGCTCCAAAGGCCGTTTTCTCGGCGCCGCGCGCGTCTACCAGCACCCAGACCACCACACCAGCGCCACCTCGGACCATAAAGAGTCGGACCGCCACTCCATCAGCAGCTCGCAGACCCTCTCCCATAACAAATTCCCTCCGTCACCGCGTCTCCCGGCATCACACGACGTCTTCCTTCCGCTAGACCGCAAAGACGGCACTAACCCAACCGTCCAAGTCAATGAGCTCTACCCAGGAGTCTTTATCTACCGCTTCACCGAGGGCTTCAACTACCTTAACCAAGCGCAGTACGTCGACCGCCTCATCGAGCACGTCACACACTCCACCCGCCGCACGACGACACCACACTACGATCACCCAGGCGACCGCCCTTGGAACGAGCCTGTTCCGCCACCCTCGACAGTCGAAACCGCTAACGAATCCCCATCACTGCTGAAGCCGATCCTCCGGGCCGTCATCTTCGACTGCGCTGCTGTGAACAACATGGACTCGGGCGCCGTAGAGGGCTTGATTGACCTTCGAAACCAGCTCGACAGGTGGGCGGCGCCGGAACCGGTGGAGTGGCATTTCGCCGGCGTGCATAACCGCTGGACACGGCGGGCGCTGTCGGTATCTGGGTTCGGGTGTCCGGGGACGGGACATTTGGAGGGGTGGGAGCCGGTTTTCAGTCTGGCTGATTTGGCGGGACAGCCACCGATGATGTGCCCAGAGCAGCAAGTTGCCACAACGAGGTCGAAGACGACGTGTTTTGCAAGTGATTCTGAGCAGTCTTCTTCATCGTCGGCTTTGGAGCAAGGGGTTTTGGGGTCTAAGGAGGGGGGGGTGCTTCGGCACCTCGGGACCGTTGGTGCTATCAACAGACCATTCTTTCATCTCGATCTGCCTATGGCGGTTGAAAGTGCCGTCAAGAGTGCGAGAAGGAAAGATCATCGATCCCAGGCTTGAAAGTAACGCGGTAATCAGCGGACATTATCATATTGAATATGTGCTTATAATCATCCGTAAGGTAAAGTATGGCATTCTTGTTTTTGAATGATATTAGAATAGATACTCCAATAGCACGTTAGTTTAATTCGACGAGCAAGATGTGTTTGGCCATTTGACATTACTATCACAACGACCTCTTCTTACTTGCCTCGAGACATTTGAATTCGTCACTCCGCTCAAGTCCAAACGATTTTATCGCTGTAACTATGCGACCCTTGTGTCAAAGTACTTATCATGTGTGATGAAGAGGATCCAAACCATGACCTCATCAGGTCAAATTTCTAGTCTAAATATGCTACATACCTTGTCAATCCTCTATTGAATGTCTGACCGATTAGACCGTAGTCGTAAAGACCTGCATCGTCCCCTTACTTTCCCACTTGATCTCGATGCCAGGAGCAACGAAGTAGATATGACCAGCCCTGACGTCAAATGTCTTCCCGTCCGCCTCCAGAACTCCCTCGCCATCGGTGACAATAGCAACTGAGGGTCCCTCACCCGCCTTCAGAACTTCCGTCTTGTTCTCCGCATCCAAGTCTGTCTTCAACATGTCAAATTCGCTCAACGGCGGCGGGTACACGACAGTGCGTCCTCGCGTGCCCCGAGGACTCTTCTCCGCAGGCAATAGCACGTCGTCCTTGCTATGCGCCTTGAAGGTCAGCGTCTTGCTGAATAAATCAATGTTGTTCCTGTCGCCGGGCGGACAGAAGCCCGTATTGAGGACGTTGTTCGAACGAGCCATGCACTCCACAATGTCT